GGGTATGGCGGGGGGGGGCGCCGGGGGGGGGGGGCCGGGCCGGCAGCCCAGGCAGCTGCGGTGCCCCCGCTGCAGGCAGGTGTGCTGGCAGCAGATCCGAACGAGAACGCGTCCACGAACCCAGAAGAGCAACGAAAAAAGTAGCACATGCACTCAGCACAGAATCAGCACGGGAGGCGGTCTGCGGAGCTGTCGAGGTTTTGCTGCAAAACATGGTGTAACGCGCGCCCGTCTCAGTGACAGCTCTTGGCTCGGATGCGGCGGGGAGGTATGACTGCTAATGTGCTCCATGGGGAATATTTGCTGCTTTATCTCCAGGATTTGGAACATCTGTCCCTCCCTCCTGGTCTGCCTGAGATGAGGATGAATACTTTTGCTTTTTCTACCACAGCTCTGGGGTTAGCTGAGCAGTGAGTAGGCGCAGGTTGTCACCACAGGTGAGGGGACAGAGGCTTGGTGGAAGCCCCTGCTCCTCCAGGCAGACACCTGCTGACAAACCGGGGTTAGACCCAAGGACCCAACGGAGCTGGCAGCAACGCGCAGGCTCTGAGGTCCCGTTCTGCCTGGAGACGATCCCGCTTCCAAAAGGGGTTTTGATGGGTCACGACAGTCTGGGGAGGACCAGTGGTGGAGAGGGAAGGGGGTTACTGGCAGCTCTCTAAGAGTCGGAGGCAATTAAGAAAGGAACGGTTATCTCCACTGTCAAGTGACTGAGAGCTCCCAGCCGGGTCCTGCTCGGAAATTTGAGATCTAATTAAAGCAGGCCTCGGAGCTCATCATTCTTCCCGCACGCCTGGGACAATGAAACACTGACTCGTGCATCTGTTCTGTATATGTATTTGATGCAAATAAGGAAGAAGTCTGTAAATACATCAAAAACCATACTTTATTTTATGTATAGCAATACAATTTACATATTAAATAACACTATAATAGAATGATTTGATATAGTTTTAACATAACAAAAAGAAGATTCTTCAAGTTACAAAAAAACCCCAAACAAAAACCAAAACGAACAAAAAAAATCTCCCTCAAAATACTCCCTCCCACCCTCTCCCCAAACCAAACACCACATTTTTTTTTTTTCTGAATGGATCAATGAGACAAACGTATCCAGTGACTGGCTAAGTCTAATTCCTATTGCACACACTGACAATGGAATAAAAAAAAAATAGTCCCAATTTCACAATCACTGCCCCAAAGAAATGACACGTGGAAATCTTTTTTGGAGTGTGATGATGGTGTCTCACTACCTCGATACACAGAAGGTATGTATTCACATAGCCACCACAGAACTAGGAAGGAGGTGAAACTAGAAAAAAATTAGCTTTATATGAAAATATAAAATTCTATGATTATATACCATAGATACAAAGTTCCCAGAAGATGCTTATCCAAGCAACAAAATATTTACAGTTTTAATGACTTTGCTATTTTAAAAATGAAGGAAAAGAAAATAGGAGTACACATGAATGCGTCGGTCTTTAGAAACAATGGCTGCTTGCTAGTTTCAAATACTCTAACAAAACAAAAAAAGTCACTACCCCAAATGTTGGAGAGTTGTGACATTGTATAAAATTGACTATCTCCTCTTTTGGAGACATGTTTATTCTTAAAACTCAAGACATTTTTCTTGAAATTAATTATCATCTGTAGAAAATGCTTCCCTTTGCAAATAGTTAACAAAAACACTAAAAACAGTTCAACAGCTAAGACAAAGTAGAGGCCAAATCTCTTCATTACAGTTCCTTCTCTCTCTTTATTTTTGCATTCCTTCTCCTTTGATAAGTAAAGCCAATGTAGTTCACATTGTTAGAATGGCAACAAAGAGAAGAAGAGCAAAGGGGTAACAGTAAGAGTTGAATTACGTCTTTTAAAAAAAAAAAAAGAAAAAGAAGAAAAGCAATGCAGTGGATTAACAAATAGGCATTTTCCCTTCATATAAAAATTCACTGGCACCATTTGAACATAAACTTCAGAACACAAGATCTGATGTCAAAGGACATGAATTTGAGAAAGACTGCTAAATCTTTAAGACAACTACATTGTAATTTATTTTTCTGAAATTAAGTTGGTTTTGTTTTGCTGAGAATTAGTAGCATGTATCTTTGGTAGAATCGATATCTATATTTTTTAGCTTTTAAATAAAATATATTGGCTAAAAAAAGATTACCAAGAAGGCAGTTGTGCTGTGTCATAAAGATTCTTCTCCTAATGTTCCAATGTATACTCTGGGTTCAAGCAATTCAAGCAGTCAGAAACTGGAAAAACAACTGAAATTTTGCAGATCCTGTAAATGATTCCACTAACCTAGAACAGACCCACAGTACAGAAACAGTCACAGACAAGAAGCAGTTTAAGGGTTTGTTTGTTTGTGTGTTGTTTTTTTTTTTTTTTTGCTGTTCCTAAACTCGTATTTGGAAGCGGGCACTGTGAAATACTACGGACAAATGCTGTTTAAAATGCACATTCTTTAGACCTTGGTCCTGCGGAAGAATCGGTGCTTAGCCAGCAGGCCTGAGCAGTCCTCCTGGCTCTCCCAGACCTGCCTACCGATGCCAAGTTCACGTACAGGCGTGTTTGTAGGATGGGGCATTTGGGTGAGACTGTCACCCATTTGAGATGTTACGATGACACTGCAGCTTCCCAAGCATTCCCTCTTGGAAAGCTTGGCTGCTCTTACGGGCTCAACACACAGAGGTCTTTTATGTCTTTTCAGGTGGTCTGCCGGCGCAGCACACAAGCAAGACATGAATACTATTTTTTTAAACGTAGACAGACACATGCACGTGTACTTCAGTCCTTTATTTCCTTATTTCTCAGGGCTGGTGCTGAGGACCACATTTTATAGCAACGGGATATATTCGGGTTCTCTTAATTTGCAGGCCTGCACGTTGTCTGGCAACTTCTGCTGCTTGAAGGACATCCCGACCGAACGCCAAGTGGTTACAGCGGGGGTGCTGGTGTGGCAAAAGCAAGGTTGCGATGCACAGAGCGGGACTTTGGCCAGAGAGACTCACGAGAGCATCTGAGCGGAGCTCTACGAGTGCAGATCTCTGACCACACACTCGCCCCTTCTGCCAGTC